ATGGGGTTTCACCATGATGGCCAGGCTGGTCTTGAACTCCTGACCTCAGGTGATCCACCCACCTCGGCCTCCCAAAGTGCTAGGATTACAGGCGTGAGCCACCGTGCCCGGCCAACTCATACGTTTTCTTGAGGCAGGTGTTCCCGGAACTTGCAGGTAACTCCCAAGCATCGCACTTTCCAAGGCACGTGGGCCGCCTCCCAGGCTCATGTGAGCCCAGCACCTGGTTTTTGCAGTCTTTCATTTGGCTCTCCCACCCCCTCATACCCTTTGGGAACTGCTGAGTCAGATGTACAGAGAAACAATCGCTGCAAGGGCTGTTAAACTCTCAGGAAAGGTACCAAAGCGCATGGCAGCGTTTGGCCCCAGCAAGCTGGAAAACATTGTCTTTTGGTCTTGAGATGTCTCCTACAGCACAAGAGGTTGGCAGAACAACCTCAGAACCTCTTCCGTCTCTGCTGCTTATGCCTTTGTTCAGAAGCTTAGTACAGGGAATTAATCTCAGCTCCTTCCCAGAGGATCTGAGGCACACAGAGATCTTTTATACCACATTTCTCCAGTGATGCATTCAATGCACTTGTATCAAAACATGCTAGGCTCTTCACTTACAGGCCCTGCTCTTGCCCTGGAAATCTCATTAGCACCTCATTTTTTAGCAAGTACACTTGCAAATCCTGAGACGGGGGGGTGGAGGGAGAATCCAGTGTCAGTCTGCAGTGGTGGGCCTGCCCTGGCCGTCTCCAAAGGCGAGTGCTCTTCCGAACTGCCAGCCCCCTGCATGCCATCTGATTGCCCCAAGAAAACAGTGTTGTGTGTTTAGGAGCGTCCTCCTGTTGGCCTCCATTTGCAGGATTCTCTGTGTCAGAGGATCTCAGTCAGGCATGATTTTGTTCACAGGGGACAGACACTTGGCAATGCCTGGAGATGCTTTTGGTTGTCACAACAGTGGGAAGGCAGGCGTGCTTCTGTGCCTATAGGTGGAGGCCAGGGCAGCCGCTTAGCACCCTACGGTGCACAGGACAGCTGCTCAGAGAATCTCCAGCCCAAAATGTCAACAGTCCTTGGCTGAGAAGCCCTGTCCCAGGTGGACCGCAGCCTCCAGGGCATTCTGTGTGCTCAGCTTGCCTGTGGGTCCCTGCACACCCTGTGATTTTATTATCAGCTCAGAATGCGCCTGGGCTCATTGCAGTGAGGGAAAGCCCAGATTGCTGCCAAAGATGGAACTTTCTGCTTCATCGAAGTTGCTTCTGTCATCTGTGTGAACATGCGCTTTTTTCTCTGCAGAACCTGAGAGCCAGAAGCAACAAAGATGCCAAGGATCCTACAACCAAGAACTCTCTGGAAAGTGAGTTCTGCATGCTGGGGCCTCTTTGTGCCCTCGTGGGGGTGCTGCTGCCCTTAGAGGTGGCAGTGTGGAAAAGCAGACACAGTGCCCACTTGGGTCACCCCGGGGTGCCTTCCCTGTTCTACTCTTCAAATAGAGTGGGGACGGGGAAAGAACAGCTCAGGGAGGGCAGGGAAGGACATTGTCAGGACCAGTTTGCCAACAACAGTAGCAACAAGGTGCTGCTTAAATTGACTTAAATGTCATCGTGTTGTCCCCAGTGGCCTTGTAAGGAGGATTTTTTTTTTTTTCCGAAGCGGATTTTTGCTCTTGTGGCCCAGGCTGGAGTGCAGTGGCACGATCTCAGTTCACTGCAACCTCTACCTCCGGGTTCCAGTGATTCTCCTGCCTCAGCTTCTCTAGCTGGGATTACAGGCATATGCCACCACACCCAGCTAATTTTTGTGTTTTTAATAGAGACGGGGCTTCCCTATATTGTTCAGGCTGGTCTTGAACTCCTGACCTCAAGCGATCGGCCTGCCTTGACCTCCCAAAGTGCTGGGATTACAGGCGTGAGCTACTGCCCCCAGCTGTAAAGAGGATTTTATTTTCGGTTTTTGCCGATGACAAGTTTAGTCATGAAGTAACCTGTGCAGAGCACAGGTTCTAAGTGGCTGGGCGGGGATCGAGTCCAGAGTTGCTGGGAAAGTGGTATCAGGAATTATCAGTCAGTTCTTTCTTTCAGTTGTTAGGGTGTTGTGGATAGTTACAATTGCAAAGAATAGCCCCTAGAGCTTTATGCTCGGAGCCTCGGTTTCCCCATCTACAAAATGAAAGTAGCGATGTGTGCCTTACGCTGGTCGCAGGAGTCTCGTGAGGAAACATACCTCGCATGTCTCAGAACACACTAAGCGTCCATGCCTGGGATGGGCCACGCTCACTGTCGTCACAGAGAAGCACAGGCGGCTGAAGTTGGCCAGGGGGCTGCTCCCATTGCAGTGGGGCTCGTGTGCCTCTGGAGTCCAGGTGTCCTCAGGCAGGTCGCCAGAGAAACTGTCAAACCAAGAGTTGTTTCGGCAACTGAGTAGTTTCCTCCCTGTCTCAGAGTCAGACATCTGAAACGTCCCGGGATTGATGGTAAGGGCAGCCAAGAGGTCTGCTCTCAGTGTACCCTCTGGGCTGGAGAGCAGGTCTCCCTCCAGAGTTGGGGCCCTCCCTAGCCCATCCTTGCCAGGGTGGGCTCCCTAACCCCAGGGGTGGCAGTGCTGAGCCTTTTTAGCTGTTGTCACTGAGCCAGCCATGCAGGCCCGGGTCTGACGAGCTGCCCTGGACTCCACATGCAATCAGTGTCCAGGGCTTAAAGCTCAAAGTGTTCCGGGTGGGTGCTGTAGCCTTGCCCTTGTCACTGCGCAGAGGGGAGATGGGGCCTGTGGAGGCTGGGGCAGCCCCCTCCCCACTCACCCTTGCACTGAGGGTGTTCGGGCAGCTGGTGTGTGTCCATGTGTGGCCTCTCTCACCACTCCTCTCTCTCCACAGCTCTGCTCTACAAGCCTGTGGACCGTGTGACGAGGAGCACGCTGGTCCTCCATGTGAGTCACAGCACCCCTCCTGACTGGGACCAAAACTGCCCCCTAGGGCACACGCAGCACCAGGGCTCTGTAGGGTGCATGCGCGGCACCAGGGCTCTGTAGGGCGCACGCGTGGCACCAGGGATCTGTAGGGCGCACGCGACACCAGGGCTCTGTAGGGCACGCGCAGCACCAGGGCTCTGTAAGGTGCACGCGCAGCACCAGGGCTCTGTAGGGTGCATGCGCAGCACCAGGGCTCTGTAGGGTGCACGCGTGGCACCAGGGCTCTGTAGGGCGCATGCAGCACCAGTGTTCTGCGACATTTCTTTTGGTTGTCGTAGCTGCAGCCGCGAGGGAAGCTGCTGACATCTAATAGGTAGAGGTCTGGGGTGGCGTTGGACATTCTGTAGTGCAAGGGACAGCTCTCTCTTGCCCCCCCAACAAAGAATTACTCCACGCAAAATGTCAGCAGTGCTGAGGTCGAGAAACCCTACCCTAGAGCCTTACAGAGGAGCCCCTCCTGACCACGTGCATGCGGCCAGGTTTGCTGGATCACATCCAGAACCTGCTTCTGGGATGTTGCTCCCACAAGTGCCCCCCAGGTGAGAGATGCTCGCACAGCCGGCCCAAGTGAGAGAGGCGGTGGTGACATGACACAGTGATGACACCAAGGCAATGTGGGCACCGAGGCAGTGCTGACACTGAGGCAGTGCTGACCCGAGGCAGTGCTGACACTGAGGCAGTGCTGACCCGAGGCAGTGCTGACACTGAGGCAGTGGCGACACGCAGCAGCGCTGACACTGACGCAGTGGTGACCCGAGGCAGTGCTGACCCGAGGCAGTGCTGACACTGAGGCAGTGGTGACCCGAGGCAGTGCTGACACCGAGGCAGTGGTGACACGAGGCAGTGGCGACAGCGAGGTAGCCAACACTCTGGGCTCCATCTGCACCTCATGTCTGCACTTTGCACACAGTGGCAGGTGCCAGGGCCCCTCTGTGTCTAACTCGTCTGTCTTCCCGGGCAGGACTTGCTGAAGCACACTCCCACCAGCCACCCTGACCACCCCTTGCTGCAGGACGCCCTCCGCATCTCACAGAACTTCCTATCCAGCATCAATGAGGAGATCACACCCCGACGGCAGTCCATGACGGTGAAGAAGGGGGAGGTGAGTGTGATGGGGGATGGCATGGGTTTGCCCAGCCTGCTGAGCTGGGGGCAGGCAGGGCACCCTCGATCTGAGGCCTAGAGCCCCCCCTGGTCCTCAGTAGACCTTGCCTTTTGGGATTGGTGAGCTTGGCAGCACACCCAGTCCTGTGTGGAAGGCGTCGGGGTGCAGTTGCAGGGGTGACTCCGCACGCGCCATGCCCTTCAGGCGGCGTCCGTCACCGTGCCTCACTCAGCCACCTCTTTCCTTCTCTGTCATGGTGGGTTATGTCCAGGGAACCCTTTTGTATCTCCCACACTCTTGCCAGCTCAGGGTCCCCAGCCAAGGAGACCTGTGGGAAGGAGGTGAGTAGGAGGGTGGCATTTTGTCTGCCTGGAATCCTCCTCCTTCCTCCTGAGTGCTTTCATTAAAACACAGTTAAGATCGGATTTAAGGATTTGAGAGGGGGAGAAAGGGGGGTTCACAGTTTGTGTCTGTGACGTGAGGCTTCACATCTTCCTCCGGGAAGGCGCTCCTTCTTCCCCGCCGTCACTGACGTACTCTGTGAGCATGTCATCAATGGGCAGGCATGGCCTGTGTCTGTGCCGCTCTGAGCCTCCCTGGGTGGGGCCTGGCACACAGCGAGGCAGGTGCCTTCCCAGGCGGGCAGCAGCTACTGAGAACAGCTGAGGCATGCAAGCCGGGCAGCCGGTGTCCAGTGGGAACAGCTCTTGTCAGAGGCAGCAGTGAGGCGAGGGAAGCTGACCCATGGCCTAAGGGGTCTCATGCAGGGACAGGAACTGTCTGGCCCAGGCAGGACACAGGCTGGGCATGGACTGACTGTAGTTGCCTCTGAGAACCACCTCCTTCTCTTCTGGTTTATGTGCCAGGTGATTGGCAGTGTACCAAGGACACAGGCCCTGTCCTCAGGGTAGCCCCAGGACGGACCTGCCCAGCACATGTTTTTTTCCTTTTCCTGCCCTGAGCCGTCAGGCAGGCAGCTCTCAGCCCCATCCACCACACACTTCTTTGGGAATGGTACCCTGAGTGCCCAGTCTTGACCTTGAGTGAGGGGCTTGGTCAAGTTTCTCCTGGTGGGCCCGGCCCAAGGAGGGAGCTGTCCTCTCCATTCCACTCTCCAGGCTTGTCCAAGCCCTGGAGCTGGGCAGACACAGGGTCCATGCCAGCATCGTGAGGACCGACCCACTGGGTGGCCTAGAGTTTCTCCCAACTGGGCCCATTCCTCATCTTGCAGCAGGATGGGAACATGGCCCTACCTCACTGGGCACCTGGGCTCCCAAATGGACATGATTTAGCAGCAGGCCTGGCCATCCGTGATGACTCCTTGGCAGTCTGAGCTCATTGAAGGCAGAAGTGGGTCCCTGGCGCCTTCCAGGGGAGGTGTTGAGCAGCGCAGGTGTTCCCCAGCTGATCAGCCCATGACTGGGGCCTGGGAGAGGTAGGGGATCAGATCTTGCTTCTTGTAGCATCAACGGGGCCCTGCCCCTGGTTCTCTTCCCTGGCTCAGGGCCACAGAAGGAGAGCAAGCCTGTGACAAACCTGTGGACAGCTGCACAGATCTAAGTGGATGTTGGATTTGTTTATCCTAAGCCTCCATGTGCTGGGTGGCTTCCTGCCAGGCTTGTTCTTCCCTCCTGAGACGCCTGCTCTTTCCCTTCTACTGACATTCTTCTATGAGCGCTCTGACCTCCTGGGAGGCGAGTGTGGGGTCCTTTTTCCCATGGCTTCTCCTGTGCCTAGTCTGCTCCCTGCATCTCCAGCTGCCATTTATCATTGCTAGACAGAAGGAAGGACCTTCTCACCACTCAGTTCATTGGAATCCACTGCCTTGGGGAATTGAGGAAAATGGTGATGTTGCCTAGAAGTTGGCAGCCAGGCCCTCGCTCCTGCATGGGTCCCCATTGCGGCCTCCTTCCACGATGACTCAGGCCAGGTCTCGGGACCACCAAGGAGGAAGTGTAATTTAGGAAGGGCTGGGAGCTTCACAAAGGGAGGGGCCTGGATCTGCATCCTCGCCAGCACCTCGCCCTGGTGGAGGGGCATTTGCTCACTGAGGAGGGGTCAGCTGGGTCCCTCAACTGCAAAGCAAGGTGGAGGACTAATGACACTAGGAAACATCACTGTGAGTCTGACCAGCACCCCCTTGTTCAGGGCTTTCTATCTGAGGCCCGTCAAGGGACGTGGCTTGATGGTGGCTAAGCCAGGATGATAGACAGATGCCTTGCTGTGCCCCGCCCCTGCCGTTCCTGAGGCAGATGCTGCGAATCAGTTGGCCGCTCCAAGCCTGGACATCCTCCTCAGTATCCCCTGGCACTGCCCAGCAAGTTTGCAGTCCTTTATGCAGAAAGAAGGATGCCAGATGGGCAAAGCCCTGCCAGGTTCCGCTCTCCCTTGCTGCTTACCAGTGTACTGATTTGAGGACACCCTTTTGCTTCCCTGGGTGTCCCTGCTCTCTGAGGGCAATGATGCATGGTCCATGGCCCCTCCACTGGGTGTTGAGACCGAACAGGTTTCACAGCCTTCGAGGGACTTTATGGAAGGAAGGGGTGGTGACCTGCCTGCATGGTGCCATCTGTGTCAGAGGTGACAGGAGAGCTCCCCTGACGTCACCAGCCAGGAAAGAGGAGCAGGAGCTACAGGCCGCTTCCTTTTAGAATTTGCAGCCAGGGCGGGGCCTGAGCTTTTCTCCTGCGCATCTCTCAGTTTGGTACATGACACAGTGTCAAGTTCCCAAAGGGTGAAAGAAACTGTGCCTCATGACAACTCTGTGGGGTCAGAGGCGATCTCCCATTTACAGATGAGGAAACTGCGACTCAGAGAGGTTGAATGTCTTGCCCACAGTCACACAGCCACCAAGTAGCTAAGCCAGGATGCAAGTGAGGCCAGGGGTCCCCTGTGAGCACCTCGGATGTGTTACTGTTTGGTTCCCTTCCTCCTTTGTGAGCCGATAGGACAGGTCCACCCCTCCTCTTGTCCCTGCAACACCTGGAGGTAGGAAGAGTCACAAGGAGGAGGAGATGTCCCTTTCAGCTCTGCACACCACCCCATCCCCTGCCGCTCCTGCTGGGAGTGTGTCAAGGGGGTGGTGCTGTTTCTGGCTTCCCTGGCTTTTGGTGTCGAGGAAAGCTGCCTCTGTCAGCCTGGGCAAGTCTGACATCGAGGAGAGGCACAGGTGTGAGCCCTGTTCAGGGTCAGCTGCCCCAGCCCTCCCCTGTGGTTCCTGTAATCTCATCACCCTTTTCAGCTACATCCCATGGCTCCAGGGCTGTGTTCTTTGGGGAAGAGTGACCTTGGGCTGCATTCCTGGTGGCCCTCTGATGTTGAATGGTGGCCGGCAGGCACCCCATCTTCACAGTGTCCTGGCCCAAGCACACCTGGAGACCATGAGCCACAGGTGCTGCCCAGGAAAACGCCTCCTCAGCCTCCCCAAAATAACCAGATCAAAGGATCCTGTAGGCACTGTTTCTTTCCAGGCCCGGGTTCTGAGGGCTGGTGGCTGGTGCTCATTTGTTTAGCTGAATTAACTTCACAGTTAGATCACCGATCCTCACTGCTGGCTGACTCCCCACGTGGTTGCCAGTCCGTCTCCTTGGAGCCTTGCACCATGCGCTGCTCAGCACCCCCTCGACTCAGGCTCGGAAGCATAGTGGATGATGCAGTTGGGATGTTTTGTTTCCCAAGAGCCAGCCAGGCACTGACCTCTAATACCCGTTCTCTGCCCCTGGGATCCCAGAGACCCCTCCGTAGGAAGAACGCAGGCAGCAGTCCAAACGGGAGCTGCAGGAAGGCTCTGGATCAGGGAGGCACCACCGATGCAGGCTTGAGGCTGAGAGGTGGTGAGGCTCTGGCAGAGGAGAACCAAGGTCTTTTAATCAGTTGATGATTAATGAGTTGGAGAACAGGCTGGGCGTGGTGGCTCCTGCCTATAATCCCAGCACTTTTGGAGGCCAAGGCAGGTGGATCACTTGAGGTCAGGAGTTCAAAACCAGCCTGGCCAACATGGTGAAGCCCCGTCTCCACTAAAAATACAAAAATTAGCCTGTCATGGTGACACATGCCTGTACTCCCAGCTACTCGGGAAGC